TCCTACTTTCCTTAATATGCAGCCTCCTTCCTCTCTTCACCAGGTACCACCATGTCATCAAGCCTTGGGGAAAGCCACTCTCCACACTTGATCTGCTACAACTCCCAAAACAACCTTCTGCCTTTCATGCCACATGGCATACTTCTCTCCCACTTCTCCTGCCACAAATGCTCAGCAAAACTTTTACCTCAAAATAAAAAATAAAATAAAAAATAAAATAAAATAAAATAAAATAAAATAAAATAAAATAAAATAAAATAAAATAAAATAAAATAGCGCAAAAAAAAAGCATCCTTCTCAAGAGAGAACACAAACCCCAGTGTTGAAACTGGCTACATGGGGGCACTGGAGTCTGTACATGCATATCCACTTTCAAGGCCCAAATGCTTCCAGTAAGTTTTCTATAAAGCACTATGCTATCAAAGCACATTCTTTAACATTATGCAAAATGTGGAACTATATCCTAAAATTGCTTCCCAGAGTCTGATCTTAATTACAGGGCCAAGTGTTCAACTATCACATTCAAAAATGGTACACTTAAGATATGTACAATAGAAAGAAAAGTTGATGGGCAGAAAGACTCAGTTGGAGGAGAGAAATAGATTTGAACAGCCTTTCCTCAATAATAAAGGCTCCTAAAACCACTCCAAAGATGTGGAAATATAGCTCTTAAAACCTGTCACCAGTTAGCTCTGAAGGTGAGAGAAACCTAACACTGATGACAATCACCCTTTACTTACATAAAAACAGACCATAAAGTAGGGGAAAATCTGCCATGCCCCAAGGGTTTGTGGTGGAGCCCCAGTCCGACTCAGATGAGCCCTGCCCCCAAGCCTCTTGCCAACATGAATTGTGAGGAACAGATACAGGAGAAAATGCCTAGAGGTAAAAGGGGAGGAGAGGGCTCAGTCCTGGACTATAAGACCTCAAAAGCAGCTTGATATCAGGCATAATGGAGAGGAGACCTGGGCTCAGGGTCGTGGGCTGATGGAGTGGGAGGACTGTTGGAAGAGACTCACTGGGAAAGGATCTTCCTTTACACTGGTATTTTGGAACTTTCTTGGAACTCTGCAGACTGCTCAGCATGTAGGTAAGGCAGAGGAACAGCGGTTGAAGTTATCTGTCCTAGATGATAAAAACACCGCAGCAGCAAAGAGAAGGGAACCCAGGTGTGTAGGGCCCCAGCACACAGGCTGCTGTACCACACAGCTTCAGTGTTTTTCCCACGTTCCATACTCAGTTTTCCCTATGAGTTCCACAGCCATTATGCTTAAGAATGTGATTAGCCCCAAGAAAGGGGTTAAAGAGTTGATCTTGTAATATCTTTAAAGTCAAAGGCTAAATTCCAAGACTAAACTGTTTCTTAATCACCATGATGGCCTTAAATAACTTACATATCAAAAGCAACACTCATCACCATATGTTCTAATGCAAAATAAATAAATAAAAAACAATACTGTCAGATAATGCAAAAATGAATACCCAGATGTTAGTCAAGTCATACGCTGATATAAGTATTAAATATGAATTGTAAATGCCTCTAAAATAAAAAAATTAAAACAAAATTCTATTTCAATGGATTTCACTGCATTTCACACAGCAAAAAAGTATTAGACCCTCAGTGATTACCACTCTTAGAAATATATTAGTACCACCTCAGGGTTTCTACTACATCTATTAAAAGACAGACAGCTGCCTAAATCTCAGTGCAAGAAAGAGAACTCAAGTTCTCCCAGGTTCTGCCACTATAATTGAAAATGGTCTGTTTCTAGGATTTTAAATTTTGGAAGGATGAAGGGGTGTGGAGCTGAATAATGCATTCTAGTACCAAACTTCATGAGCAGTAGCTGCCAAACGAATAGATTTATTTTTAAAGAGCATGTTTAAAACTGCTACTATCAAAGTAGCTTCTCCCATTAGTCACCACGCCTCCAGAAACAAGATTGTCATTGTTTCACATGTATATTTACTAAATGGAAAAGTTTTTAGTTTGGAGGAGATTTTTTTTTCAAAGCATCCACTAATAAAATGTTCAAATGACAAACCCTGTAATTACTATTCATAGTAGGATTTAATAATAAGAAACAACTTTATCAAAGCCAGAGAGTTGGAAAACACAAAGAAATGAGTTCTGAGACAAAGGAATTTCTCTGATCATTCCTTGCACACCCCTACCACCAGAAAGCTGTTAAGCTCCCAGGCACTTGCCCCCTAGGACACTCCTGACCAGGACAGAGCCAGCGCCATGTAAATGTGTCAAAGTCCAGGGACAGATTCCAGTTCCCTGGTTACAACAACTTTGAGGAGTTCTGTTCAGTGAGAAAAACAGGTCCAGAACTTGATGAGCTACAGAAGTCTCAGAAGAGAGACGCCCTGAGAAAAGGTGCATTTCCTCTTGGCCCTCTCTCACCTTCATTCCAGCTTCCCAGCAGTTTTCCTTACAGGTCATACAAGAATGGTACCTTAAGGTTTCTCAGTAGCCAAGCCAGCATAAGGTACTCCTGCCTCTGATCCCAGCTGCTTGCTCCCCTCCAGGCTGCAGTCTCCAAATTTGCAATAATACCACTGCTTGTACCTGGTCTAATACCACAGATGCAGGGCTTATAGTATAGTAGAGAATTTCCTTTTCAACTACCTTTTCAATACACTTCCATCTTTCCTGATGTTAATATGGTGTCCAGAAACACCTCTGTAAAGAGTAAGGTCTCAAACTAGTATTTATTTTCCTTATAAGATTTTAAGTATTTATAAGGAGGACTTCTAAAATGGGATCAGATGCTTTATTCCTTGAGCACTGATCTTTCACTGCTGCCAGTCTGAATTCTTAAGGGCTCAATTTTGTTCCAATTCAAGTCACTGTAATCTTGCCTTCTGTGCCAGCCAGTAAAATACTAAGCCCTGACAACTTTTGAGATGCAACAAAAGAACCCTGCAAGGTGCCCCTGACTCCTATAACTAATATAAAATTACAGCAGACAAAGACTTTCCTCATCTTCTTAAAACAGTGATCTGCATAAGGGATGGCTCGAATTCCTATTCACCAGAATAAGAAACAAGCCCCTCAATCACTTTATGCATGGATTTTTACAGAGATTCACGTATAGACAGATATCTTTCTTAAATCATTGCTTCAGTGCTCAAGACCATAAAAGATACATCAGTGATGTGCTAGAGAGCTATGTCTCAAAATATAAAGGTTTTAATAAAAGGACCAAATTTTATTTAGTGGGAGGGTTTAAAAAAAATACTTAATCACATTTGACTTAGGAGGAGGTTTTAAAACCTGTATCTAGAACATCCAGAAAAGGTGAAAATGAACAGCTATCATTTCAGTTATATAACCAACTATGTTATTTAAAGGCACAGGTGAGAAAGATGACAAAATATTTATGGGCCATTCAAACAAATTGTAATAGGAAACACCGTATTTGCAGACATTCCCCTCTTTTCCATCACCTGAAAAACTAAAGCCTGTGGAAAAGCAGCTCAGAGAAAAGAGCCAAGAAGGATAACCTACACCAATGTACATTTCCACATTACTACACAGAGCCTGATCCCTGTAAAATTAACCTTCAGACCAGCACCAGCTATGTGCAAAAGGAAGTTTCGGGCCTCTGAACTGATTATTTGTTTTGCACAAGTAAGAAATCAGTTCTGAGCTAGTTATCAACCAGATTACATCAAATAATTATTTTAAGAAGAAATGCAATGCATAACGAAAGTTAGCCTGGCACTTTGATTGCTTTCTTTAAATAGAAACTTTCTGCATTTTTTAATATGCTGAGCTGCAAGAAGCCTGCCTAAATGGGATCTCTCTCTGTGAGCTGCTAAAACCAGAACTGTAAAGGGACACAGAGGGACCTCTTCATATAAAGAAGACACAAATTATTCCTATAGCCAAGATGTCCCTTTGGTAAACAGGGATCACTAGTGTAAACTACAGCAGTGGCATTAACTCACTGGAAGATTAAAAACAAGACAAAACCAAAAAAATAATCAAGAGCCACAGCAAGGTAATACAAAAGGCTTCGTGTCAACGTGCCACTCCCATAATCAAAACAAATGTTTCATTAGAATGGAAATGACAGATACTCAATAAAACAATTTTAATAAAGTTGCAAATACAATAACAGAAAGTTGTAAATATTTACACCAGTGGCTTTCATTTTTTGTTTGCTTTTTTGATACCACTGTATTTGAGAAAAGACTGGCAGCTTTACGAGACCTGGGAAACAAGTATTAAAAACAAAATCTAGATAAACCAAAACATAATCAATTCATTAATACCACATGGCAAACCCACAATTGATCTACACCACATTTTCAAACTGTCATTCAGGTAATCGATTACCAAGCACTTCTTTTTCCTCTTTTAAGCTCAGGAACTCTGGCCGAGCAGAGTGGCCCAGTCTGCCAGATGCCAGCAGCACAACAGCTGGTAGAAGTGCTCCTGCAGCTCCTCTTTTTAAAAGTTCGATTTGTTTCACGAAATCTCACGACAAGAATGTAACAAAAGCAAATCCCTCCCAAACTGAACAAATCTGCTGACAGAAAGCATCGAAGAATTTAGTAACAACTTTTAAAGCCAATATAAAAATAGTTTATTCAAAAGTAAGACTTCCTTGGCAACTCAGCACTGGTTTCATCGGGAAGTCCAATTTCTGTACTTAAAGCTACAGTGGAAGCTAGAGGAAGTAAATGAAGAAACGGGTTATAGCGAGAAATTTTCCTTGAAGTAAACATGAGGTCACAGCCGGAGTCACCCCACTCCGCAAAGACCCGCGGGACACCCGTCCGTCGCTGACCAGCGCAGTCAACTTCTCCCGCGCCGCGGGCGACTCGGCAAAAATAAATTCTGGAAAATAAATCCCCGGTAACTGAGTGGCCAACGGGGGAGGAAGGGGAGAAAGAAAATAAGACCAGGGAAAGGGCCCGGTGGCCCCGCGGGACCTCGCAAACCCCCGCGGCCGCCCCGCCCGGCCCCGCCGGCCCCCGCGTACCTGCGCTCTGCAGGGTCTCGATGCTCTGCGGGCGGGCGGCGAGGTCGGCCACCCCCTGCACGAACTGCGTCCGGGCGCGCTGGTACTGCTCGAACACTGCGGGCGGCAGCGCCGGGGCGCCGGGTCAGCGGGCGGGCGGGGGCCACGCCGGCCCCGACCCCGGCCCCGCAGCCCCGATCCTGGCCCCGGCCCCGCGGCCCCGGCCTACCTTGTAGGACCTGGCGCTGGCTCATGGCGGCGCCGGGCGGGCTCCGCGCCCGCGGGGATTTCCGCGCCTGGGACGCGTCTCCCCGGCAACCGGGCGGAAGCGGGGCCGCGGGGGGCGGGGCCTCGCCCGTGACGCCACCGCGCCCTCCCGCCGCTCCCGCTGCCGCTCCCGCCCCGCCCCGCGGACGCCGCGCGGTGCCCCGGCCGGGCCTGGGCGCGGCGGGACGGGAGGAGATGGGGTGGGTGCGGGGCCCCGCGCTGTGCCCGGCTGGGGGCGGCTCGCACACGCTAGTCACAGGCTCAGGTGCCGGTGCAGGTGCGGGCATCGGCATCTACGGAGGTGCGCGGGTCCGTGCGGACCGACAGCCCCTCGGAGAGGGGACCGCCACTGTGCCACGCACACGCAGCACCCGTGGGGGGCGCGAACACGGCGTGACATCCACACGTGTGCAGGAGCTGTGTGCGCTCACCTCTCACCGGGAGCTGCTGCCCCAGGAGCGCCGGGAAAGGACGGGCACGGGCAGGGAAGGAGCAACGCCCGCAGGATCAGAGTGCCAGGATCAGAGCAGGGACGTGTCCGGGCGCAGCCGAGGCGCGGCCCCGGGCCCCGCCCGACGGAGGCTCGGGGGGTGTCGGGCTGCTGGCCCGGGGCCTGCCCACCCCCACTGACATTTGGTGCGCACCCGTGGGACGCGCTGCTCCGCCGGGAGCGAGTCCCTTGTCCCGGTCCGCTGCTGCGCAACTTGCCAAGGGCCCGGCGGGCAGGCAGGGAGAGCCGTACCGCTCCGGCGGAGTCCAGCGCATCGCCCGGCTGCTGCTCTGGGGTTCGCCTGACGGGCTCCCGCTCCCCTGCGCTCCCTGGGTGGGGGAGAAATAAAAAGAAAAATAAGAAAAATAATTAAAAAAAAAATAAGGGCACTCCAGAGCTGCGCGACCCCGCCGCGCCTTTATTCTTCTGGGAGGCGGGTTCTTTTAGTTTTTTCTTCCCTTTCTCACCACTGATGCGATTGCTCCTCGGGGATCTCCGCTCTTGCCCGACGCCGCCGCGCCGGCCCACGCAGGGGGTTTTTGCGCAGCACGAGGAATGAACTTGTCCTGCGTGGGGCCGCGGAGCCCCCGTCCATCCGCGGCCGGCGCGGTGCGGACAGCGCGGACGCCCAGGGACGAGCCCGTGGGCTGCGGCCACCGCCTCCGCCGGGAGCAGCGGAGGAAGAACGGCGGAAGAAGCGCCGTCCCTCGCTCAGTCTGTATCCGTCGAGGTTAATGATCAGCCCGAGCGTACCCACCCGCGCAAGAGATCCGCGCAGCGCCAGCTCCCCGCCCCGCTCAGCCGCGGTGGCCGTGGGTAGCATCCGCTCTCTCCGCGCAGGGGGAGCAGGGGGGGAAGGGGCACGGCGATGAGAGATGGTCCGGCAGCAGCCCTCTGACTCTGCCAAGCACAGGTACTGGTTATTCCTGTGCACCATAACAGTATTTTTAAAAAATTTTTTTCCAACAGCGTATGATTCCGGTAGATAAGTTGGACACTGTCTTCCACTTTTCCCATCTTAGTGCCTGGCCATAAAGACTAATTAGAAATAATTCTCTTCAAAACCGGGCGGCAAAGACATGGTTTCACCTATCAGTAAACACAGCCTTGGAGGTCTGTATAGCAACTAATGCAAACGGTGGGACGGGAAAGTTAAATCAGTGTTATCAGGGTTTGAATAGAAATAGACTCTACATCACGTCCAGTATCTTTTGAGAGCGATTCCCAAGACGCGGGATGCTTGTGAACCAAGGTAATAGTTAGCTCTGCTATCGATCAGGCTGCTCCAAGTGAAATTTTAATCCACAACAGAAAATCAGAGGTAATATTCCATTAAAAAAAGTCTCTTTCTGTAGCCACTCTATATCGCACAGTGACTTCAAGATTTCATAGGCTAGTAATTTGTCCTCCAAAACTCAAAATGTAAAAAATCAGACGGCTGACACTATACAAACATGGTATTTGATAGGTAGTATAAAGTTTTGTCTCATACCATAAAGTTGGAACGTTGAAGTTACTTCAGCCACATTTTAAAAGTTTGGAAAAGTGTAAGAAAGACACTAATATATATATTTTTTTAATCACCTATGTGTTTGCTCAGCTGAAAAGAGAGGGGCTAACACAATATTGTGGTCTAAAATGAACTATGCGTTTCTAGGGGTATTTAGTGCCAAAAAAATCTCTTTAACCAAACAAATTAAACAGGGGGTGTGCTATTCTTTACAAATAAAGGAGACAAATAAAATCAGATTGGTGAGAAGGTCGTTTGCCACAGAAAATATTTTGGGAAATTATCACCATGTGTACTTGAGAAAGGAACAGCTGTTAAACACATTTCTTTATACTTATTTCTGTTCTTAAGTTAAATAAAAAATAAACAAATGGTGATGAATTACTTCCAGAGGTTTAAAAAAAAATAAAAAAAGCAGATGTGTCGATTACAGATAAATTGATTTATCTGTGTAATTAAGTCTAATGTTTGGATAAGGAACAACAAAACGCACCCTGAGTACCACCACGATTTGCTGTCACACTTCGTTGCTTGCTAGTGAGAGTCTATTCACATGGTTAATAATAATAATGAGGAATAAACACCATGCAAATGCAGTCTACGGAAATGTCACCGGTTCTCGCAAAAGTACTGAAGACGGAAAATCATTTATGGAAATGACGTAGTTGTGAGACTTCATTGCCTACTGCTGGGGTGCTCATTAGTGGGAAACCTGTATCCTTAAGCGGGTGGTGTTAGTAATGACTGTGTTACCGCACACGTCAGCTTAAAAAATAAACCGGACGCCAGGGGAATAGGCAACAGTTACCCAAATGAATAATGTGCCTTCGCTTTCTGGTGGGTGTTCTTTAATCTCAGCCTTTGATTCACTCGGAAACATGCCCAAAGTGGGGCAGATAAGCATCGTTTTCCCCAAGATGGGGAAGGGCGAAGTTGCTCCTGGAGTTTTTTGGGGATGAGGCGTGCCCGGGTGATGGGTTTTCCCGGCTTGCTCTCGTCCCCGCGGGTGCGAGGCAACAGGTGACTCAGCGTCCGCACGGGAGAAGCCAAGTGCTCCGCAGGACCCCCCGGCTGGAAAGGCACTGGGTGGCAGGTCTATTGTCGGGCTCGCTGCCCTGCGACGGCTCATGCCCTGCGGTGCCTTGGCTGGTCCAGCCGTGGATGCTCCACTACGGCTTAAAACGGCACGACGCCCATTAAAAGGTGAGGTCTTCCCGCGCCTTAATGCAGCGCCTTCCCGGCTTCGGGACAGCCCGCCGGAGCTGCGGGTCAGCTGGAGCTGGAGCTGCCCCCGGCCGCCTCCCGCGCCGGTCGGCAGGGTCGCCCGATCTGCCTCTGGAGGGTCTCCTCTGCTTGCCAGTAAATTGTTCAAGGCGTTGAGGAGATATTTACAGGGTTACAGAAATTAGAGGGTTTAATTCTGTGTTTGCACGACTAAGCGCATCTGGTGGGAAGAGCAACGCGCAAACTCTTCCGCTCGCTCCCGCGGATCCGAATTGGAAACACTGGGTTTTCGAAAGCCAGGAGGTTGCAAGTGGAGAGGTTAGTGGGAGTGAATGGGATGTAGGAAACTGAAGCGCTCTCTCGAAGAGACTACACTGAGTGAAGAATCTTCAACTCCACATATAGCCTCTAATAAAATAAATTTGAATCCTTGAATAATATAATTTTCAAATTTAATTTGGGCTTTGCCGTTACCTGATTTTAGCAAAGACTCTATCAGAGAGACCATAGCAGTGGAGAATTCTCTTTCACACACACCCTCCCCCTGACCTTTGGCTCGGGGCTTCGGGGACTCACACCATTCTGGGGTCCCCTCTCCGGATTTTCGGCGGTGAGTTTAGTTTGGGAGACCTTCCTATAGAGTAAATTAGTTCTGTGAGGCGAAGACAGAAACGTCGAGGCACTTCAAACGCTCTAGAAAGAGGACTTCTCCTTTTTCTTCACTTAAGAGGACAACGCTGGCATTTGAACAGATATTTTTGACTGTAAATATGTAAAAGGTACAGATTTTGCTAGTAGAGATTGGTGCGTCGCCATTACAGTAGGCAAAGACTGAATAAAAATTTTAAGGGATAAATAAACCGGAA